ACAGAAACCAAAATTGCAAAAGAGATTATTGCCTTTTGTCACACAATATAATCCATCAGTGCCCAATCTTTAAAGCATTTTAATGAGCAAATGGCATTTAATCCAAGATCAACCTCCGCTTAGAGAAATATACAGAGACCCTCCTTTCATCTCCTACAGGAGAGGAAAATCTCTGAAAGACATACTTGTTAGAGCTAAACTCTAAAGGTCAAAGACCGCTCATCACGAAACAGTGGGAGTCGTGCTAGGCCTGTCAATCATTTTTTAATCCTTGTTTACAAATCGTTATCAAAAATTGAGTCGGTGGATGGTTTGCCGGCCGTTTCTTGTCCGTGGGGCAAAGTTACTTGCCCGAGAGTAAAATGTACTTGTCCCAGACAAGCGGACGGTTTTTTTTTTTAGCCCTGCGCTTGCTATCAAACTGTCTGGAATATAAGTTCAAACGTTCAAATGTTCAGATTTTAGTATTTGTGTAATGTATGTGGCAAAACACTTGCACAAACAGCACTTCAGAATATAACACATCCTACGCGTTACTCTGCATGACTTGTGATGAGACAAAAGGGAAACAAGGAAACCAGGTCACGTGACATGTCGTAGAAAGCTCATCCTAACTAATCCTGCTCGAATCTTAGTTCAAATCCTGGCTCGAATCCTGGCTCGAATCCTGGCCCGAATCCTGGCTTGAATCCTGGCTCGGATCCTGGCTCGGATCCTGGCTCGGATTTTGACTCGAAGCTTAGGTATCCTCAGCCTCTATAACAGTTTGCCGGCGCCGGTTACGTCTGATAAGAATCTTACTCAAAGTTTTAAATACTTCAAAATGTTATTCCTTGCTGCAATATAACTTTTTTAACAACTATTTAGAAAAATTTAGAAAACATTTCGATCAACCAGCTTACCTAACCAACGCACCAAAATGGATTTAGATATCTAATGATATAAGCAAATATGAAGTTACTCTTACGTCAGAACATTTCAAAAATNCTTTTGTCACACAATATAATCCATCAGTGCCCAATCTTAAAAGCATTTTAATGAGCAAATGGCATTTAATCCAAGATCAACCTCTGCTTAGAGAAATATACAGAGACCCACCTTTCATCTCCTACAGGAGAGGAAAATCTCTGAAAGACATACTTGTTAGAGCTAAACTCTAAAGGTCAAAGACCGTTTATCACGAAACAGTGGGAGTCGTGCTAGGCCTGTCAATCATTTTTTAAATCAAAAACCACCAAAAGGAGTAACATGCGCGATTTTGGCAAAAAGCAAAATTTGCCAAAAAGGCAAAAAGGGCAAATCACGCTTGCAATGGGCGCGATAAGAATAGCGTAAAATACAGCCCGATTTGTTACACTACTTGCGAAGATGTGTGATTTTGACTCCTTACAACAAAGGCACAAGCGCTTTTGAGACGTAGCTAAGATGGAAGGAAACTACAAGATGGTGCTCATTTGAAGAGAAAAAAATTAATAACCTGCAAATTACAGCATTTCTAAAACAAATTTTCATCCGATTTTTGCTAATTTTGATTTGTACACCAACATCGTGCGTGAGGCCTTGATCTAATTTCTATTGCTGAAAATTGAATGAATAGGAAAAATAGCAGACACACTGTGGTCTTTTCTATTTTGCAGTCGGTAACCACGTCAAGAAATTGGGTTCAAATTTTTAATCAAGGATTTAGCTTTCTGCCTGAATCAAACTTTGAATGTTTATTTGTGTTCAACACTATGCATTGACTTTAGTTTAATGCGTATTCTTATGAGTCTGGGTTCACAAAGATCTTACAATTACTGGGAATTTGTTCTCATAAGAAGGATCAAATAATGCCAAAATGGGGCATTTTCAATGCCTCGCTGCTCCTTAATGAGCATGGGCACCCCCCTTTTTTATTTCAAAATTGAAGTTATAATAGGACAAATATTCAGTGGACAAAGTTTGAACAAAACTCTATTGTCACTTTTATTTCAGAGGAATCACTTTAATTTTGCAGATTTTGGATTTTTTTAGTTTTGCGGGAATACATTTTCGCCAATTTGGGTTTCAAACTTTACTCACGGGAATAATTTTTCATGGATTTCATGTGGGGTACTTGAAATTAACAAAAACAGAAACCATATGGTTGTTTTCGTTACACTGTTTGCAACCAATTTCATTGAAATTCGGCAATTTAAATAAAAGGAGTTCTTTGGAGGGAGTTTGTTTGCACGGGATTTAATTTTCGCAGATTGATGAAAAATCCGCGAAATTCGCAAAAATTAGATCCCACGTAAATTTCATGCCACACAGTAATTCCAAAAATAGTTTTGTTCAAAGATTGCAAACTCAATCAATCAATCATACTCTAACAACAGTCTCAATCCGAGTACAATCTTAAACTTTTTAAAAGAAAAAGTTCTCAAAAAAGTAACAACTAGAAACTTTATTTACGAGTTTTGGAAATCATGCTGACAGCATTATTTTGTAATGTGCTCTCTCAGTTGTCGTTGCCCGAATCATGAGCGTTTTGTCCGAAAAATCCCACAAGTTTTGTAGCTGGGGGGCCCGCAGCCCCCATTGTTCCCCCTCCCCGGCTTTTACGCCTATGGAAACAAAAGGAACCATTCAAGTTCAGTGAGATGCAAATGAGCAGTACAGTATTCTACAATCTAGCCACAACAGCAACACATACTGGCTTTGAAAGTACTATTAATAATAATACAAATTTGCATATAAACTTAACTTACAGTAAGTCATATTTTAAGTTAAATTAATGAGTTGCTTACTTGAAAGGTATAACAATACAGGTCAGAAAATTGTGAACACTATAAGAATTAAAAATAAGGGAGTAACTAGGATTACCTATCATTTCGAGTAACTACATTTTCCAATTAAGAATTTTAAAATGTCAGCTTTTGACTTCCAGTCTAAAGCCTTTAAAAACTAACTAATTGTAAAAGTGCAAGACAAAAATTTCTGAAAATTTTAAAAAAACTAAAATAAGGAGCAAATACACTGATTTACAAGAATAGAGCATTGTTTTGGCAACGGCTTGGAGTTATTGCCTGCTTTGCCAGTGTTTGTCATGTGTCATGATTCTAAAGTTTTTTGAACCACTTATAGTAAAACCATTCAAAACTTTGTTAACTGTCATAAGTTTTGCCTTCATGGTTACAGGAAGTTGGGTTAAATTATGATTCAATAATACTTATTGCTTTTAAATGAGTCTTGAATACTATAATTGTGTAGTTCTATAACATACAGAAAATGACACTAAGGACACGGTGAACACTTGACATTTTTTTGTACTTTTTTTTTATTATTGTACGATAAAATTTCTGCTAAACAACTGTTTACCTTAAGATTTCCTTTTGAAAAAAATTTTCAAGGACGCCTTGTTTGACTGTCTTCACCATTCTGGCAAACTCTGAACACGTGCTTTGTGATCATGTGCAATATCACACACAGACATTGACATTTTGACCATTTCCTGAAGATGAGTTTTTTGTGCTTGAACTGAATTTCAAAATCATTGTTTTGTTCATATGTTTGTTGCAGGTCAGATGTATAGCCTTGATCCTGGAGTAGAACCTCAAACATATACCTACAGTGTACCAGAAGAAATTAGAAGATTTATTCATTTCTTTCACCAGCATGTTACAGAACAGGTATGTACAAATAATGTTAGTATGCCAGCCCCTGCTACAGTAAAAACAATGAACACTTGAACCATGAACCATGAACACTCAACATAGTTTTGTACATTTTTTGTTGCCTACAGAATGACGGCTCTAATGAGCTTTGTTAACATTAATTTTTAGATGCTAATATTCTATATTACATGAAGAGACATAATTCTACAGACACCAAAAAATGTCCAAAAAATCATCAAGTGACTGTGTTCATTTTTGGAGTGTCCTTACAGTCTCCTGGTTTGGTCCTGTATTTTAGAACTGGTATTATTTTCTCAAGGCAAATGCTTTTTTCCATGCAACGAAGGCAGGAGGCTGAGTACATATTGTTTATTATTGTGTCGTTTGGGGTCTGATCATTTTTTCCTTGACCCAAGACTTCTAGATGGTAATTTTTGCTAGTCATTGGTGCCTACAAAGAACTCTGTGCATGTTTTTAGCACATTTAGTGCAGCTGCAAGCTGTCTTTTATTCCGATAGGCCAACAGGTTAACATCCACTTATGAATTTTGTTTTTTACAGAGAGTCAGTGAAAATGCTAGAGACAGAATAGGCATAATGACTTAGGGATGACTACATGGATTGTCATTAAAGTCTGTGTTGGGCTGAAGTGTCCAAAGTTGTGGGAGTTAATCCCAGTTTCTGTAGCAGTAAGCTACTAGGATTATTGTACCAACACCCTCCCCAACCCCACTCCAACCCTTATTTTTTGATCCCGTGGGGGTACCTCCATATATAAGCTAGTGCTACATGGGTATGTGCCTTTGTGGTATAGAAATGAGACAATTTTGGTCTACAATAGAGTATAATTTACCGGAAAAGTGGCCATTGTATTAATAATGTGGTGACTAGAACAGGGTTCTTTCCCTGGTGTTTTGTAATAGAAATTGAAACTTGAAAGTGACTCAGTAAGGTATTGGTTTAATTAGCGTATGTTGGACTACGATAGTGGTTAAGTTTCTGCATGGATAATACCAGTAGCTAGTCTGGGAAAAGGTAGGGGGTTTTCAGGTGCCTAGTCTAGAATAGGGTTGCAAAATTAAGATGATCATGGTCTACTTTAGGGTAAGGGTTTCAGCAACCCAATGGCACACCCCCACCAAATGATTTACAAAGGTCCACCCCTTGGTTGATACAGGGTGTAAATCTAGAGTCTAAATCCAGAGTCTGAATCTATGGGAACATAATTTGAGGTGAGAGACTTAATCAAGGTTTGGCCCTGATCATCAACGAAGTGCAGACTGCATTTAACAAAATTTCTTTATTGCTTTGTTACCTTCCAGAACCTTTATGAAATACAACAGATCTATGAAACAAAGTAAGTAGAAATACATTGCAGTTTTGTCATTGTTGTCCCGAGAGCTGCCT